AAAAAAATCAATTGAAATTAAAAAAGACAAAATAAAATAGGGCTGGAGAAAGATGGGAATATAGAATGTAGAGTTGTTCAATGGGTATAAGCTTTAGTGTATAAAGAGGAAAAGTTCTGGAGAAACAACATTGTGCATATGCTTAATATCAATGTATATTTATACATTTAAAGTTAGCAAATTTTCTGTTGCAGTATATTTTACCATAATTTTTTTTAATGAAAGAAACCATGGATTTTGGAGTCAAACAAATATGGGTTCAAATCCCGGTTCTGCCTCCTACTGGCTGTGTGACCTCAGAGAAATCATGTAAATAACTGAAAATGGAAAAAATAAAGCCTAAAGGAGATCACCTGTAACGCTTGTACAGACTTTTACTACTGGCCAATAAATGACAGCCTATAAAACCTGAGAGTGTATCATTTCACCTAATTTAGACTCTCCTCCTCACAAAGGCAGGTTTAGAGAACATTTAAAATAACAGGAATTGTTAATCATATTATCAATGGTAACAGAGCACTATACACAGAACTTTCTGCACACTTGTATGTGTGCACATGTGTACATTTATGCATGTGAACGTAGGAATATGTGTGCCATAGTATGCACGTGGAAATCAGAGGAAAACCTTGGGTCTGAGTCCTTGCCTGTCACCTCACTTGAAAGGTCTCTTGTTCTGCTCTGTGAACCAGGCTAGCTGGCCCATAAACTTCCATGGATATTTCCTGTCTCAACCTCCCATCTTCCTGTAGGAGTCCTGGGATTACAGATGCTAGTACTATACATCTGGCTTTCATGTTCTGAGGATTTGAACTCAGGTCCTCAGATTTGAACAGCAAGTGACTTTACCCACTCAGTCATTACCTCAGTACCTGGTTTTTTACATACTATTTCACTTAACATTTGTAACAATCAAGCTAGTATTACTGTCCTATTTAAATAGACAAAAAAGATTTAAAGAGATTAAGTAACCTCCTAAAGGTCACAGAGAGTAGCATTATTTCAAATGTTCTACACTGTCACCTCCCCAAGCATACACTGATTGCTCTATCTGGACACAATGGCAGGCTTCCTTCAGTCTAGGTTAACACTACCTTGTAATGTAACACAGACTCTTAACTTCAATAGAGTGGGACCTTGTGAGAGGAGTGTTTTCATTCACTCAGCAAGTCCTGACTGAGCATCTATATATGGTGAGTAAACAGATATGCTCCCTTACTTTGGTGAAGCTTATGGTCACCTAAGGATAAAACAAATCAATACATAACTGATTAAGTAATTAGAAACAGTAAGTGCTAAACAGGAAGAGAACAGAGGACTACGAGGAAAACAATTAACAAAAGAAGGATAACCAGGGGTGGAGGCAGGAGTAGGGAGGAGTTAAGAAATATTTGGGGGGGGCAGGCTCCAAGTTTGATCCCCAGCACCTTATAAACCTGTATGGTGGCATATGCTATAATCCCAGCATTTAGGAAGTAGAGGCAGGAGGATCAAGAGTTCAAGGTCATCCTCAGCTACATAAGAGAATTCTAGGCCAGCCTGGGCTACTTAAGACCCTCTTTGCAAACTGTCTCACTAATCTCTGGATCCACAGGTCACATACATGCTGACATGGGGATTATTTGATGAACACATGGATGCATGGACCAATGCTTGTGAGGACTTACCGGTAGGAGCAGTTACCAGTTTAGTTGTCATAATTGCACCGTTACTGCTAACCACCATAATGGGGGAATTGCTACTGGTGGGCAGAGTTGCAGTCACTGGTTTGGGTAAGATTTTACTTGGCTGAACCTGTTGTGTGATGATTTTAACACCTTTGAAAGAAAAAAGATAAATCTCAGCACAAATTATTTTTAAAAGAATGCCGCTTAGACCAATAGGGCAACAGTCAAACACATTTATTGAGTCTTACCTAGAGATGCCTTAAAAAAAAATTGTGAAAATCTTTAAGCTTTGATAGCTCAAATTCCTCTTTCCTATGGTCTCCGAACTCAAGATGCAACTATCACATTAAAGAATTTCTTCAAGAAAAATAAATCCAGACTTTGGTTTATGGTAACGTATATAAGAGCTTTCAAACCAGTTAGCAACTGGACCTGAACTTTTACAAGCAAATAAAATAATCTGTTCCGTACAAGTACTTGGCATGAAAGGATTGGCAGGAAACATTGAAAACAAAGTTAATGCAGCCTTCTTGGACCCCCAGTACCACCAGTGACTTCTCATAGTTCCTTGAACTTGTATAAAAAAGCTGCTAGAAACCTAATGTATCAGAACAGTTTTGTTTAACTTTTATGGATTTCTGTCTTATTTTCTGTCTGATTTATTTTGTCCTGTTTTGAGATGGGGTCTCATATAGCTAAGAGTGGCTTGGAACTCATGATGTAGTACAGACTAGACCAGAACTAGAGATTCTCCTGTCTCTGCCTCCTGAGTGCTGGGATTACAAATGCTATGCCACAATGCCCATTCTAAATTATGTTTTCTGGCTTTTTGGTAGTACTGAAGATTGAACCCAGAGACTCACACATGCTAGGCAAGCTCTCTGCCACTAAGCCACACCCCCAACTCCTTAAATAACTTTTTAAAAGTATTTTTAATAGTTCACGTTGTCAAATATGGAATTACCAAAAAAGGCCACATTAGTATTGCACCTATGTACAATAAATGTGAATAAATAAGAACTTTAAGGCAACACGTAAAAATTCAACAAAAATGGAGGGAAGTGTTACGATTTCTTTTATGTTTTTTTGTTTTCAATGCTCTAATGCTTACATTGACTTTCCAAATACAAAGTGTTCATTTAAAAGTAAATTCATTATGCTATTTACACATTTAAATAAGTCATAACTAAAGAAAAAATAATTAGTGCCTTTTCCCCACTATTATCTTCGATGAAAATAATTTGTTCTTTGTTTCTATTTATTATTTTATGTGTATGCATGCCTGCATGTAGGTAAGTGCACCTGTGTCATGAAATGCCTTGAGAGGACAGAAGAAGCTGTTGGATCTCCTGGAACTGGAATTACAGAGAGTTGTTAGCTGGCATGTGGGTGCTGGAATTTGAAACTGGGTATTCTGCAAGAACAGCCATTGTTCTGAACTGCTGAGCCATCTCTCCAGCCCCCAATGAAAATAGTTTATAAGATAAAATATCTTATAGAGATAATAAGAATTTATTACTTTTTTTGTGTGGCATGATGCTTAATCTTGATTATCAACTTGATGGGATTTAGAATTTTCATGGAAATAAACCTCTGGGATCTTTGGGAGGGACTTTCTAGGTTAGGCTGAGGTGGGAAGAGCCACACTAAATGTGGATGGCACCATTATATGGCTAGGAGCCTAGACTGAAAGAAGAACTCAACAGCAGCACTGCTCTCAGCTGCTGCAAGTTCTTGGCACCATGGGCTTTCCTACCAGGACCAACTGACCCTAGAACTATGAGCCAAGATAAACCCTTCCTTCTTGTGGAAGACCCAGGTTTGGTTCCTACCACCCATATGGCAGCTAACAACTGTCCATAACTCCAGTTCCAGGGGATCCAACACCCTCTTCTGACCTCCTCCAGCACTGCATGACACGGGTATACTTACATACATTCAGTCAATACTCTCATACACAGTGAAA